TATATATATATATATATCAGTAGCATAGTGTTCTTTTAATATATTATATCTTTAGTTTTGATTTTTTTTAAATTCTTTTAGAACTAAATTTTAGTAGTTCACATTTTTTACCATGCAAATTAAAAAATAAATTGACCTATTTAAAATTAAGATTATTGTTTCATTTAGCTCCATTAATATAAAATAAACTTTTAAATAAATTAATAGGTTAATTCACATTTTTTAATTAAGTAGTCTATACCTAAAAAGAACCTATAATAAACAATAGATTATACTTATGTTAATTTTATAGAATATATATTTATATTTGCATAAGGGAAACGAGAAGAATTCTTATATTTATCCTTTTCTTTAACAAAAAACAAATCTATGTTCCATTTTTAAGTGTTAAAAAAACTTTTACTCTTTCGATTTATTAGAAAATATTATAAATAATGGTAATTTGATTTTATAAACATTATAGATGATATATTTAATGCATTTGTCTTAGATAGACAAAATAATTCGTCTAAAAGACTACACATCATCATAATCAATTATCTTTCTTATACAATATGAAAAAAATTTCTTTATAAAAAAACATTTGAATTTGTTAACATTAAAACTTGTATTTCTAAATGATTTAAAAATTTTCTTTTGATCTAACAATTCTTGTTATCATTAGGAACTTTAATATTTTCTATCATATTATAAAAGACAAAACTATAAAACTAGCATGCTAAACTAGCATGCTTGATCTTCTATTCTTTATTCATTATATCTTATTGCTAAGATTAAGTTCCAAGTAGTGTCTTAATTATCCTGCTATGTGATTTCCATGTCATTATGGATTAAAACGAACTCTATAGGGACTAAATAAAGATTAAAATGAAATATTTAAGCCTTTTTTGTCTTCTTTTTATTTATTGGTTAAACCATCACTTTGGTTCCGTGATGCGCATAGAGGTTTTACTTTGGTCTTTCTTCTATTTCTCTTTCTTTTGTCACTCTTTCATTCTTCTTTTGTCTTCTCCCCCTCAAACATCTCTTTCTCTCCCCTGTCTCTCATATATCATTTCTCTTTTATTATTCCATGTTTTTCATTTCTTTTTCTCTCACTTCTCTCTTTCTTTCTATTGCCTTTTCCCCCCTCCCTTCTATCTCTTTTCTCATGCATACTTCTTGTTCTTTCACTACCCCTTTTCCCTATCTCACTTCCCTTTCTTTCCCATCTCTCTCTCTCCATACTTTGTTCCATGACTGTAAATAAACGTGCAAACCACCAAATTTTATCTTATTTATATTCTTAGTCCACATAATACAAAACATTGTATCCTTAGCCAAAGTTAATATTGGCTTTTCCTTAAACTTCAATATCCCTAAGTTAAAAGCTTCACAACAATTGTTGCTAATGTTATTAATCTTAGGGCCTTCATGAAAACAGGCCTTTGTACGTAAAAGATGTGACGCTTCTATAACCGCCTTCTAGAACAAAGAAGACTTATGAGATAAAAAAGATCCATGGAAGATTTATATTTTAGAGGTATCAAAATTAGCTAATTTGGCTCACACAAGTTGATTCACTATAAATTATTGTTTTTAAATGCGTCAATCCAACCTAATTCACTTGGTGAGTCAAGAAAAATTTCAACTCGCCTCAATCCACTACGGGTTGGTGGATTAATCGGATCAACTCATCAAGTTTTTTAAAGTTTTAAAAAAATTAATTACATGT